TTTCAATTTTTTAAAATATAATTTTAATTAATTAATTAACAAATCAGAACTAAAGCAGATGGAGTTGTACTTAATTACTAACCTTTCTGAGCTAAGTGCTAGATTCTGTTTTCTCTTATAGTGTTCTTAAGACTACGCTGAAAATATATGTTTATTATATTCAATGGGGCTACTCCTGAGGAGGTTTGAATGGGCTTGCTTGGAGTCTTCCGCATTCAAATTCATGGGAAAAGACTACTACAGTATTTATGACGCTATAAAGTATTAATAATTTTAATGGTATTTGGTGCTTTGTAAACATAAATTGAAGTAATGTCCTATATAGGCTACCTAATCCTCATGAAGTAAGATGATTGCAAAAATCTGTACTAGGGACAGGACTGAAGCCATGACCTGAGAGGTTATGCTAATAAGCCTCTATACTGTTTAATGAATATAGTTGGTTTATATGTCCCAAAGGTGCTTTTTCAAAAGGCAACTGGACTTCCTTGGTTTTCCTTGAAGACGTTTCACTTCTCATCCAAGAAGCTTCTTCAGTTCTGACTCAGCCTGCAATATTGTATTCTAACAGCTGTGCCACCACGGCTCTTACCACCTATGCATTCTAGTCATGGGCTGAGACAATTCAGAAAAAAGTCTTATGTGCTTGTGTAGCTTGAAGTCTGAGTGGTAGAAAAACAATGTAGAGCTCTCTTGATGACACTGCTGGGCTGAGAGAAAGAAGGTGATCCAATTTCTCAACATTTGTTTTCTTCCCATGCAGGGAACCTAAGAGATCTATTGTGGCAGAATTTGCCTGGCACACACAATTTTACTGTCTTAATCCCTAGACTTTCCTTATTGGACTGAGCAACAATCTATCTGAAGCTCTGGAAAGCTTTTTTCCAATAGTTCAGATAATTCTGAGCTTAATGAACTTATAGTCTTATATACTCACATTGCCCTTTTTTTGGAAATCAGTTTTCCTACATTAGTGCAAAGGCTAGCACACCTGCACTGTACAGAAGGTGTGCATTAGAACAGGGGTCTCCAACCTTGGCAACTTTAAGACTTGTGTACTTCAATTCCCAGAATTCTGGGAGTTGAAGTCCACAAGTCTTAAAGTTGCCAAGGTTGGAGACCCATGCATTTGAACATCATCTAGTAATCACATTGTAATCTGCCATTTGAAACTCATATTAAACCTAGTCAGTATTTTGTGAATCCAATTATATTTTATTTATACTTGCCTGACTGTTTTATGGTACTCTGTTATAGACTGGTCTTTAAAGAAAGCTTTAAATAAGATTTCTTCTTCAATCTTCTATCTCATGATTTTTCAGGAAAACTTATAAAATATGATGTTAGATGCAGATTCCATCTTGAGAATCTTGGCTCTTGTTTTTCCTTGATAAGATAAATTTACTAATCTTTATGACATAAGTTGACAACCTGAGGAAGACAACCAGTCTGGTATAGTGCTTAAGGCATCAGACTAGAAACTGAGAAAATTCTAGTTTCACCTGAGGCACAATGCCAGCTGGGTGATTTGGGCCAGTCAGTCTCTTTCAGCCCTGGAAAGGAGGTAATGGCAAACCATTTCCAAAATATTGCCAAGAATATGTGGGGACCCGCCCAGGCAGTCACCAAGAGTCAACACTAATTTGAAGGCACCCTTCAGAAAACCAGTTTTAGCACCAAATCCCTCTTGAAGCTGGTGGTCTACCTTTAAAAAAACCTGGAAGACTTTAAAGAAAGAAATGGGTACTTAAAGCCTGCAGAGTTGAAAACACCAATTTGATCTTTAAGCAAATAGAATATTAGCGTTGGAAGCAGTGGTGGGTTGCCCCCGGTTCAGACCAGTTCTATAGAACTGGTAGTAAAACTGGCAGGAGGCTCCGCCCACTGACCCCAACGTTATCAGGAAGCTTCTGCACATGTGCAGAAGCATGTGTGTGCACACTCACTTTGCTCGTGCGCACATGTAGCCCTGTTGCAAACCAGTAGCAGAGGTAAGTAGAACCCACCCCTGGTTGGAAGGTACCATGAGGGTCTTCTAGTCCAACCATTTGCTCAAGCAGGAAACCCTATACCATTCTGGGGGAAAAAAATGGCTGTCCAATCTCTTCTTAAAAACACAAAAATCAGGATGTTTCAAAGTGTTTGTTTATATTTTAACAGCATTAAAATGTAAAATAAGTACTTTAACAGCAAACTGTAAGACACCTATTTAGCAATTTCATTTCCTCAATTTGTCCCTCACATCAAGTCATGCATTCATTTGAACTATGTCCTAGCGTTTCTCCAGTAGTTCATGGCAGTGAGAGTTGCCAAAGTCACTAAGTAATGTGGCTGAGATCTCTCGCTGGCTCTTCTTGTTCTTCATCCAAACACCTTATGTATTTTCTCACATTGGCTCATAGCCAACTTTTTTTTTTTCAAAATGCAGTGTTTTACTGCAAAAAAAAAAAAAAGTATACCTATCATTATGGATAGAAAAATGTGTTAGAAACTAATACCCAGACACAAAATACAGAATGGCAGAATAAAAGCCCTCATGGTTGAGCCCAAGGTTGTAGCTTTTCCCCTTTGATCAGCAAACAAATTCAAGCAGATCTCACAAAACTATAAAAATTTAGAATAAAATATACCAAAGAGAATACCAGGAAAAATTACACAACATATATGGGCTGCAGTATTCAAATTTTCTTGACAGTGGATTTACATTGACTAGATTAAAAATGTATCACAAGCAGATCCATGTCTTGTCAGCACAAGTGGAAAAAGATGGAGATTGTTGGGTTCCTCTTTCCTCTTGTGTCTTTGCTTCAGAAAAGGGGCTTTTGTGAGGAAAGGGAAAGAGGAGAAATCTGTAAATGTTTCCTCTCTTTAACAGAAAGCTTCTGATGGATCTGTGTGCCTTCTATGAATAGTAGAACTTGTTCTTGCAGCTTATCTGCATGCAACAGAATTCACACAGCTCCAGGGGCATCCGTGGTGATAGGAGTTAAAAAAATATTAAGATGGTGAGCACAACCACACAATCAAAGTCTGCCTTTTTAAACACGCTTATGGTCCTGTTTTAACCTGCAAAACAACAATGCAAGACTCCTGGCCTTGTATGCCTAGCAGGAATCAGCCTATGTTATAACACTGATCCTGTTCACTTTGATAGGGAAATTTGGAAAGGAAAATTTGGGGTATAATTAAATAAACATCTGAAAAATCTGTGTATCTGTGACACAAAAGCATTTTTTTCCCTGTCCAATATTTTAATTTATCACTAACTTTTGAATAGCCTTAGTCTGTACATCAAGACAGTATATTTCAGTCTTGGTATTAATGATAGACTTCAGCCTTGGAGAAAAAAAAATACTCTGGGAACGTGGTTCTCTATTTTTCAGAGACGAAAATATGAAAATAGTTTCTCTACTGACTATTTTGATACGGTTCTTTCTGTTCGGTATCAGCCAAGAGGAGATGTTAACACATTTCATTTCTGATCTTTTAAAACTGTCAGGCGGGAATGATTTTCAGTCACTTCAGTCTGGAGTGGATTTAAAAACTTGTCCCAAAGGTGGTAGATTAATAGATTTAAAAGGCAAGGAATTAATCTAATGCACTGATCTGTCTCCCAGCCCATAACTTACAGTATAACTGTCACAAGATTATGGCAGTTCTCCAATGAAACAAAGTACTTTCATTTGATTTTGCAATAATAAAGCATTTCACTGACCATTACAATTTCTACTTTAATACATAATTATTTATATTCTAGAAGCAGATACCAGGGAGAGTTTTAAAGACTTAAAGGGCATATAATAGTCATAGTAGTTATACAGAATGTATATTGGTTGGATTTTAATTACAAGAAATAAAATGAACCAGGGCATAATAAAGCTCTTGGCTTTTAAGGCCATCTTTCAAAAGACAGCCAAAACTAACACTTTCATTGGTTGCCAACTGCGAGCCATTTATATAGAATGATAGAATGGAGCTCCAAGGGACTTTTATTTGATTTTTTATTATGGCTCCTCTGAGTGACTGGGTCAGATTTATTTTTAAAACGATCACTCTCGTTTAAAAAACAAAACCTTCTGACTGCTAAAGTCCCAGATTGGTGGCAGGTAAAATAAGATCTCTGGTTGTATGTTTGTTTGTGTTTTGCAATGTTTTTACTGCAAACTATTCTTTCTTGGTTCCACCTTATCCATAGTATGGGCAAGATACAATACTGCCAAATCCCCTAATAAGCTTTCCTGGGAAAATTAATAGAAAATGCTTTCAAAAGTATGAAGGACTGTGTAAATGACAGATATTTTGCTTGATGTACTTATTTACTACATAATAAAAACAAACTTTCCCAAAATAAATTTAAAAAACTCTCAAAATATTCTTCCTTCTACTATTCACCTGAAATTTGACATGATCACACAAAGTTGTTCAACCAATCTTTTACACCCGCTTTTCCTAACTAAATGTTCTCTACATGTGTTGGAACTACAAATCCCCAAAGCTTCAGTCAGCAAGGCCAGCAGCTGTAAGAAATCTCTTAGGTACAAAGAGACAAATGGATAGGGATTATTTTGCTTAGAAAATGGATTTCTAAGAGGAACAATAGAATTGTTGGCACTGCTATATTTCAGATGGTAAGATTGACAACTGACTATTCATACAACAGTTTGGTAGTGTGCCACTCAGTCAATCATGATTAGGAGATTCACTCCTTATGTGTAGAAAATTAGCGTGGTGGGGAGAAAGCCATATACCTGACTCATTTGCATAAGTATATGACCTTGTTTGAAAATGAACTGGGCAAGATATTCAGCTGTGCTGAGGGTACATTTTATCCTCCACAAGATGCCACTTGAATAGGGAGGGGCCTCCATGTATTGCTTGTAGCAATACATGGAGCAATTTTATTGGAGTGAAGAGGAAATAGTGAAGCTTCTAACTATTTTAACCCATGCACCTCTCTAGTCCATTCTGTTATCATGAGGCTTTGACATGTTTGGACATACCTCTGTGTTCACTACTGTACCTTGAAACATGTTGCTATTTGGGACTTGACTTGTGCTGTGATGACTATTCTCCACTGACCGATTTTTCAGTAAATTTTCCTTTCTGTAAAAATAAACCATCTTCAGCTTCATAGATTTCAGTAGATCTCATTGCAGACTTGCATACACTGGACTGGATTTTACTTACTTGTGTTTTTCTTGGCTATTTTTGAAACAGTATTGTAAGTCTTATTTTTAAAATGGAAAAAGTTGTTTCAGATAAATATGTTATCCTTCCTCCCCCTTCAGAACATCTTCATTTTTCCCTGTCTTTTAAAATGCTTTTGTTAAGACCTGCCTTCCCCCCCCCCCAAAAATGAGCCCACAATAAGCTTCGGGCCTTAAGAGGTGTACTTACATGCATTGCTGTTCACCAGACAGAGCGGACATCATTCCCCACAAGACCTTGGTTTGCACACATCTTTCCTTCCTAGCTTCTACTTACAGATGCATTTTAATATGATTTCCACTTAAAAGAAACACAACTACCTGCTTATTTTCCCCTTTAGTGTGTTTAAAAAAAAAAAAACGCTTGTAGGAAAAGAAGGGGGGGGAAGTAAACATTGCATAACAAAGTGTTCTGTAGCTGTCAGCAAGGGCTTTGGAAATAAAACATTTCCCTCCCAACCCACAATTGGCTGACAATCGGCACATAATGAATAATAGCTCTTGGGGACCAGCCGCAAAAGATGTGTGGGAAAACTTTAATTAAAAGCTTGTCAGTACAATTTTACCTGGGTGACATCATCTGACTGAAATCTTGCTGCTGGGCTTTGTTGTCTGTTGAATCACAGGTAGCTGGCTTGTTTTGCTGACAGCAAACAATTCAAAAAATACTTTAGAACACTGGGGGGAAGAGGTTTAGCTGCCAGTAGAATCCAAGCCATTCACTGTGGTGTAATTTTCTAATTAGCAGTTGCAGAAGTCTCATGCTTGCCTTCACTCCTGGAAGTGCAGAGTGACAACTGAATCTGAGTAGCATTCCATTATTATCTCCACTAATACTCTTCCCCAACACCGTGCACATTAAATGGATTGGGAGGAAGCTGGTGGGGGGTCCAAGGTAGGACAGCATTCTGTTTACAACAGGAGCCAAACTGATGGAAAAACCTGGAGGAAGAGTCCTTTCCCTATTGCATATAGGCATATTGCCCTGAATATATAAGGCTATTCTGAGCTATGCGGACTCTAGGATGGGAAGATGACACTGAGGCATCATGGACAATGAACTGCAGACATTCAGTTAAAATCTGAACTCAAATAAAATTTTAATCCCTTTTCTTAAAAGGGGGAACTAATTGAACAAGTACTTTCAAATAAAGTTCATAGATTAATTCTACATAAATTACATATGTGTGAAACATGTTATTGATGATGATGCTCAGTTTCTCTGAAGTGAAGCAGGAGGAAATAGAAAGCATGGGCAAAGTATAGTTCTGAAACTGTTTAAATTGTATTTTAATAATTTTGTTTGGGTTACTGTGTGTTGATCGTTTAGGTTTGTATTGGAATTGAGTGCACTGTCGAGAGTTCACATATGTGAGATGGGCAGCTATTATAAATACACTAAATAAATTACATAGAGCCAGTTTGGTGTAGTGGTTTAAGTCATGGAGTTAGAAAATGGGAGACCGTGAGTTTTAGTCCTGACAGAGGCTCTAAACCAACTGGGTGATCTTGGGCCTTTCTCTCAGCCCTAGGAAGGAGACAGTGGCTAATTATTTCCAGACAGTTGCCAGGAGACAAGAGTGACTCAAAGACAAACAAACAAACAAACAAACAAACAAAAATACATTAAACCTATGTTTGTTTGCTTGCTTGTTTTTACAAGCAGGGTCATAAAGGTATTAAAAAATCATCATGGCTCCTTTGCCATTGAACAATAATGGCACATGTTGGTGAATTCACAGTTTCCACCTTATTTTGTTAATGCAAATAGAACACTTGTTCAAAGAGCTGGTTTAACTTATATGATTTCCAGGAAATGTGCAAATCAAATATAGCTCTTTGAGCACCCCCTTTTTCTTCCCTCACACTGACTATTGTAGTCCTGAGTTTGAGAAACTCAAGGGAAAGCTCCCAATTGTCCGGACAATTTTTAAAATTTAATTCAACTAAATTGCTGTCAAATCTGCAACCAGTTGGGGGCTATAAGGCAGTGGTGAAATCCAAATGTTTTTACTACTGGTTCTGTGGGTGTGGCTTGGTGGGCGTGGTGTGGCTTGATGGGTCTGGCAGGGGAAGGATACTGCAAAATCCCCATTCCTTCCCCACTCCTGGGGGAAGGATATTGCAAAATCTCCATTCCCACCCCACTCTGGGGCCAGCCAGAGGTGGTATTTGCCAGTTCTCTGAACTACTCAAAATTTCTGCTACTGGTTCTCCGAATCGCTCAAAATTTCTGCTACTGGTTCTCTAGAACCTGTCAGAACCTGCTGAATTTCACCCATGCTCTAAGGGGTGTTCCCCCCAGATCCATTAAGTCCCAAAACCAACTTCTGATTGCGAACAAATCAATTTGTTTTGTTATATATAATGCAACCAAAGCTAAATCATTCCACTTTGCTATATTCATTAATACAATAACCTTACTGTACAAAGCCAGATTTACACAGATTCAAAAATAATTTTATATAGCAATAACTACTGAAGTCAGTGGGCTGGAATCTCTGTGGAATCTCAGTTTCCTTAAAGGGGACAATACTTTTTCAGTCACATAGGATGCAAACAGTGAGTTCAATTCTTTCCTTGGCAAGGATGCTCACACCACAGCTGCCTTGCCAAAACGTCTCATTTCTGGTGACTTGCATTCTCTTGACCTTGGTCAAGGCACAGTGATTAAAAAGTAGTATTGCAGGCTAACTCTACCCACTGCCAGGAGTTCAATCCTGACCAGCTCAAGGTTGACTCAGCCTTCCATCCTTCTGAGGTCAGTAAAATGAGAAGTCAGATTGTTGGGGGTAATATGTTGATTCTGTAAACTGCTTAGAATGGGCTGTAAAGCACTGTGAAGAGGTATATAAGTTTAAGTGCTATTGCTGTTGCTATTTGCTGACTCCTCTAGATACAGTCAGCTCCTTGTCAGCTCTTTGGCTCTGCCTAATCCTGGTCCATTTTCTCAGCCACGACACAGTGTGTTCTTTTGGCTCTTTTGGTCTCAATTGTCTCTTCAGCTGAGGCACTGAGTCCTTTGTCCACTAATCCACATCCTTGAATTCCATCTATAGGCAGATACATCAGCAAGGCATACGCAGAGCAAAACCCCTTGAGCATTTTATCTTACTTCTTACCCACAAGTATTTTTTGTCACTTATTTTCTATCTTACATTCCTGTTGTCTTATCTCTGACTTATGAGTAAAGTTATCTCAGTTTTAAGCTTTATCTCTCCTATCTTCCTTAGCTTTCAATTTTTTTTCTCACTCTCTTAAATCTCTTCCACTGCAAAGAGGGTGGCCTGAATGCCACTGATTGCCCATTGTCCCTGATTAAACGATTGCTTCTTGCTAAATAAGCAGAAACTGCTACGATTGTGTGAGGAGAAAGAGCCTTGGTACTACAGTGGTTTAAAGCACCCTGTTATTAACACAGCTGCCTGCAATTTACTGCTGGTTCGAATCTCTCCAAGGCTCAAGGTTGACTCAGCCTTCCATCCTTTCTAAGGAGGTTAAATGAGGACCCAGTTTGTGGGGGCAATAAGCTGACTTTGTATAAATATACAAAAGTATGAAGGCTATTGCTTAATGCACTGTAAGCCGCCCTGAGTCTCCGGAGAAGGGCGGCATATAAATCAAATTAAAAAAAAAAAAAAAGAACTATGCAATTGTTGACTTACTACTACAAGGAATCAAAAGAGATGCTAGCCAATAAAGAAGACTTAGCATAAGAAGTGGAAGAATAGAAATAGCACTTAGACTTATATACTGCTTCACAGTGCTTTACAGCTCTCTCTAAGCGGTTTACAGAGTCAGCATATTGCCCTCAATAATCTGGGTCCTCCTCATTTTACCAATCTTGGAAGGATGGAAGGCTGAGTCAACCTTGAGCCTGATGAGATTCGATCTGCCAAACTGCTGGCAGCCGGTGACCAGCAGAAGTATTACTGCAGTACTGCACTCTAACCACTGCGCCACCATGGCTCTTAAGAAGCAGGAACACTAGTCTTTTGTAATTAACAGATGAAAATTTTGTCAATGTGCAGATTTTCTAAAGACCGTCCAAGGTTTTCTGGTGTAGCACCCAGTCTGCTAATAAACTACAGGGACCACCACTGGTGGTTTATGGCATAATCTTCATCTTTGATTTTTAGATCTTGATGCTTTGTTATCTTATTCTTTATCTTCAATTCTACTATTCCCTGATATTGCCACATCAATTATCCATACTTTCTTCTTTTCAATTATATATATATATGGTGTCTTATGAGCCAAGATTTTATCAGTCTGTACTTAGAAATCTCACAATAATTTAATATGCTCATTCTATTCTATTCTATTCTATTCTATTCTATTCTATTCTATTCTATTCTATTCTATTCTATTCTATTCTATTCTATGATAATTTTCATACATGTTCCAATGAATCATTTTGGAGGCTGCATTATGTTGTTTATAATCACTTTGTGCAATCCTCTTGCATGAGCTAGCAATAGGATCTATTGTTTCATCTGCTTCTTTGCACATTCTGCATTTTAAATCATTTGATGACTTTTTCAATTCTGGCCTTGATTGCATCAGTTTAAGTAGCCTGTTTTTGAGCAACCAAAATCACTTTTTCCTTGATCTTTAACAGTATAATGTTTTCCTTTGCTAGCATTCTGTTCATGTTTTATTACATTATTTCAATATTCATGTTTTATTTCCTATATATTTAGCAAGTTCCATTTTTTTCCTATTTTTATTAGTTTATCAAAATATAAAATGCAAAGAAAAATGAAAATAGTGGGAAAGTGGAGGAGGAAAAAAGGAAGAGGAAAAAATATAGGGGGAAAGGGGAAAAGAAAGAAAAGCATTGATTTCCAATTCTTTTTAGCGCAGTAGAATAAGATAATAACATACAGCCTCAACTTTTTATTTTTACATAAAAGACAAATCCAAATGTAGGTTGCATTAACAGAGTAGTTTCCAAATTCTGAATAACAATTGTTTCACCATATTCTGTATTAATTAAATCTAATATCAAACACTGGTTCTAGTTTTCAGCACAAAATGTTAAAAGGGCTTCAAACAAACTGGGATACATTTAGAGAAGGGCAATGAGGTACCAAAGGTACTTCAAGGTACTAGAAGTTAAATTAAAGTATTAAAAATACTTCAAGGCACTAAATCCAATGAAGAGAAAGAGAAGTGGAAATGGAGATTTTTAACAACGAGTAAAGAAGGGCTGTGTATATTATAGCATTCTTGAAACCATGAAACAATCTGTCACTTCAAAGTACAAGACACAGAATAATTGGTTAAAATTATAGGAAGGCTTTTAAAAAGGCTTTCTAACATTCAATAAGTTACACAGAGCATGTCATGAGGCCCTCTTCATTGGAATGTCTATCATGCATTCATTTAAATACATGATAGACAGCCATCTGTTAGCAATGTTTTAATTTGGATTTCTGTACTGAAAAAGTTTGATGACTTAAATAACCCTTTTTAGTTATGTGATTTTTTTACATTAAGCTCTAATGAAGGCCTTGTTTGCACTTGTAGTTTTAACACTATACAACCATGGTTTGATAAAAACAATATTCCCCCTTGGCCCCATAATGTTGTATATTAATTATATGTGGCTGGATTTTCCTCATGTGTGAATCACTGTGGAATCACTTAGGATCACAATAAGCACTAATTAAAGCCAAGGTTTAACCCCAAAGCTTAACTTGGCTTCCAAACTTTTTTTGTTGTTGTTCCTAGAGAAAGTTTTGTTCAAATCATTTGGTCATGCACGCAATCTATTTAGATTGCCTATTGGAATAATAAAAATTCTTCTTGAATATCCAAAATTACCTTCATTATCTATATCATGGTATCAGCAAGTTTTCATCTGGATGATGGAATCATTGATAGGATGACTAAATCAAGTCCCAACAATTGAGTTCCATGGGAACTCAAAGATAGCATGAATTCAGATTTATTACTAATAATTAAAACCTGGCCATTACTCAAATGATTTGTAGTCATTAAGGAGCATGCTTAACAGTTAAAAGCAGATTAACTTATTTTCTCTTGATATAAACTAGTGCTGTAAGAAGCACTGTATGAAGTCAAATGACTGTGTGGGAGACTATGTGGAAAGACTTGAATCAACCTGTAGAGATCAGATAGAAGATTTCCATTGAAGTTCTTATCTGTGGAACAATCATACTTTGAAAGGGTGTTGGTTTCTGAATTCACCATTCCAAGCTTCAGTTTCTGTGTGGTCTCTAAACATATTGCTGTCAAGAAATGGAGAGTCTTGAAAATAATTAAGGTATAAACATCAACAATGAATTGTGATTAGGAGTGCAGAGTGTGCAGCAATTCTGTATCATTGATCTTTTTAGGTTAAACATGCACAAGATTTGACATTGAATGCCAGAATTCAAAATTCACGTTTTGATGTCAACATCTGATTTTTCACATCAATGTTAGAGTTTTAAAACTATATACACATGTATACAGAAACCTTTACATTACTTCCTTTTAGAAATTCATTAAATTATGTTCCAGAGCATATGAGGTCATTGGAGACATACCAGGAGTTGCTTTGCAGAGTAAGATCCGCAGCATATAAATTGAATGAGTGAATGCATGAGTAAATAAATAAATAAATAAAACAAATAAGCGAATAAATAGATAAATAATGTTCTGCACCCAGTGGCCATTCTTTTCTCCTCCTTCTTTGATAGCAGTATTTTTTGGGATGGATATTTGTCATTTATTTATTTGTAACTCTTTATTATTTTTACAAACAGCTCAAGGCACTGAACACATCCTTTCTCCTCCTACTTTCCCCACAACAACCCTCAGAGGTGAGTTATGTTCAGAAAGAGTGACTGGCCCCAAGTCACCCAGCCAGCTGTCACAGCAAGGAAGGGACTCAAATTCATGGTCCCCTGATTTCTAGCCTGGTGCCTTAACCACTAGAGCCAACTAGTTTTGCCATCAGAAGTGCATTGAAATCAACAGCTGAGTAATCGGATCTCATTTATGATTACTGTGCAAATAGGAGATCGTAACTAGTCCTAGTGCTTATTAAGTAAACTTTATGATTGAGAGATGATTTACATCAGAGAGATAATTATTGTTACTTTGCATTATATATACAGTAAAGCTGCTCTTCAAAGAAAAACAGTGCTCTGACAAGAGGATCGTGTACATAATTGCGGCAACAAAATTCTCTTTGTTCAACAGTTTAATTTAAAAACAGGAAGACAATGGAAATAGATAGTTTGTGAGGGGAAAAAAGAGGATATTACGAGGAAGAAAAAATAATCATATTCCATCAATTATGCATTAGCCTGATGAGTTCACATGTCTTTCTATATCTGAACAAAGTTTTTAGAGTGCTACCAGAAGCCCTATCTGAGGACTACTTAGAAAAGTGGGTGGCCCATGTTAATTCATATGCACCATTCACATTGTTAAGCAAGCTGTTCCCTATCTTTAAAAATGTTTTGCAACATGTGATGACATTTTATGTAAGGCTACTTTAATAAAAACATTTATATTTCATTGACTTTTTGCTGTTTCTTTTATATATGTAACAGTAGGCAAAGACCAGAAGACAGCCATTGTGATAGATGTGTTGGTGCCAAGTGACAGCAACATCAGGAAGAAGGAGTATGAGAAACTGGAGAAGTATCATGGCTTGAAGGAGGAAGAAGAGAAGTTGTGGAAAGTAAATAGTTCCAGTAACTCGGGACTGTGACTCTTAAACTGGAATAGTGATTCCAACAGATCCTAGGAACAATATCAGAGTTCTGTGTCCAGAAAAGGATCCAAGATTGCGGAAGACCAGCCATAAGGTTGAAGACCAACCATAAAGTTGAGAAGGGAATATTTTTATATATGTTTTTGTTATGGCCATTGTAAATGTCAATGGGGAAAATAAATGTACCAGTTTTAATGCCAATCACAATGTTTCTTAACTTCCTCTTTGTTTGATGAACCTTCCTTATGGGTTACTTGGGGGGAGGGTTTCTTTGAATGAGCTGAGGGATCCCTTTTCTTTGGGATCTGTTAACAAGCAAAGCAGAAGTTTCACAATCTTGATTTTCAGACAGAATATAGCATTTCAAATAAAAAAAGAGTATAATTTGCTATTCATATATGAATTTTTAACTAGAAAAAAAATACCCATGTTCGTATTCATGACCAATTGTGAATAGATTGGAAGTGAAATGGAACTGGAAAACAAAAATAAAACATGATCCAGTGATTTGTTTGAATGAAGTAAGAGTCAAGGTAATAAAACTTTCTAAATTCCATCTGGAAAATATTCCTGCTTACCTCACACTATAGATGCAAACAGAACAATTCCCATAAACACTGAACAATGGCCACACTAGATAAAATTGATGGGAACTAGACTTCAGTAATATCTTGAAGTACACATTTGCCATTTTTATCATTAAGGAAGAACAGGGCTAGACCAATCAGCAGATTGACTTGGTATTGGGCAACTTCTTGCCTGAAAGAGGAAATTTTATAGATACTGTACTTATAGGTAATTCCAATTGAGAACTCCCTATATCTGGACGAGGCAATAAGTTTTCAAACGTATCCCTCTTGACTTTTAATTTTAGAAAGGTGAACTTATTTTCTGCAATATTATTTAAATATTAGAATACAAATTTTCATGGTATAAAAGCAGAATGGCTGAAAGTTGAGGTTCTCAAGATGAATATTGCAACCCAGTTAACATTTTATGGCTTTGTGCATTCCTGCAGAAATACATGTGGCTCTTAGTGTTCTACGATTGAAGGGCATCTAAATGTTTGTGGATGTATTCACACCTCTTTTAACACCAAATTCCACTTTGCTCTCTCTTTGCAGTGGCTGAAGCTTAATCCTGATCTCCTTGTACATGTTTGTGATCACATCTTTAACTTTCTGAAACACACTGTCCCCATCCTACCTCAGTCATTTATTCAAAACCAAGCTGTTTACATCTTCCAATTTCTTCACTCTGGAGGAAGATCTCTACTGCCTACTTTCAATTTGTAGCTATATACCTTAAGTTTTGTTTTGTTTTGTTCACAATGAAAACATGCATCCATAGGTCTTTGGAAAATTACTTTGAATAGTATACTTTATAAATAAACCTAAAAATGTGTGTGGGCTGAATGGCTCTACATAAATAACTAAGTGGATCATTTCCATAGTCATAAAAAAGTGAATGAGGAGACATAAATTTAATATATAAAAATTTCAGGGGTGAAATGCTCCCAGTTCGGACCGGATCACCCAATCCGGTAGCGATGCCGGCGGGTGGTTCGGAGAACTGGTAGCAAAAATCCCTGCGCTCCCTTCCCCCATGCTCAGCCGAGCCACGTGATCATCAGAGGCTTTTTTTTTACTTTTAAAAGCATTTTTTCTACAACCTCTTCAGCCGAAAAAATGCTTTTAAAAGTAAAAAAAAAGCCTCTGATGATCGCGCGGCTCAGCTGGGATCATCAGAGGCTTTTAAAAGCATTTTTTTCTGCAACCTCTTCGGCCAAAGAGGCTGTAAGAAAAAAAAAATGCCTTTAAACGCCTCTGGCGATCCCAGCTGAGTTGCCTGATCATCAGAGGCTTCTAAAATCATTTTTTTTCTGCAACCTCTTCAGCCAAAGATGTTGTAGAAAAAAATGCTTTTAAAAGTAAAAAAAAAAAAAACAGTTGGCCATGCCCACCCAGTCACATTACCCCCACCAAGCCACGCCCACAGAACCGGTAGTAACAAATTTTAGATTTCACCCCTGAAAAATTTGCTAATGATGGTGGGTTAAATGGCATTGGCAGAAGGAAAAACAATGAAACTATTCAGAAACAAATGTAGGCAAGGTAATTAGACCTTAATTTGTAGACCCTACAGTTGCATAGGGCCCAACTGTATTTCATAATGCATATATTAATATTTATATTTATATCATTACAATACCATATATAAATTAAACACAACATCCTGTTTTGAATTCTCACTTTTTTTCTTATTAAATAGACTGCAGGCAATCCTCGACTTACAACAGTTCATTTAGTGATTGTTCGAAGTTACAACAGCACTGAAAAAAGCTACTTATGTCTGTTTTTCACACTTACCGCCATTGCTGCATCCCCACAGTCACATGATCAAAATTCAGAGACTTAGCAACTGGCTCATATTTATGATGGTTGCAGTGTCCCAGGGTCATGTGATCTCCTTTTGACAAGCAAAGGCAATGAGGAAGCCTAGTTCACTTAACAACCATGTTACTAACTTAACAAGTGCTATGATTTACTTAACAACTATGGCAAGAAAGGTCATAAAATAGGGCAAAATTCACTTAACAAATGTCTTGCTTAGCAACAGAAAGTTTTGGCTCAATTTTGGTTGTAAGTCGAAGACTACCTGAATTAGGAATGAAGTTATTTGAGAGGTAGTGGTGCACATACACTTTATCACAGATTTGTGATCCTTCATTTCTCAGAAATGTATTTTTTGGCTATGGCTTTTGAATTGTTCTACTGAACCAACATGGCTAAATGCATCTTGCAGGATCATCTAAGTCATATTTCCTTTTCCCTTTCATCTCTTAAATTCCGCCAGAAGAATAAGTTGACAAATACAACAAAATGAGATTATACCTGTAATCTCATTCTTGTACCTACAAGAAGCAGTCTTTCTGAATGCTTTTACATATTAAACAACAAAATAAAGGCACTGTTTGCATAAATGTGGCATAAATGTGGCCCAGCAGGCAGGCTGGCATTATCTGAGTTTTCTTGGCTGTCTATATCAAGGGAGTATTAGTTTATTTGGAGGCCATGAAATTCTGAAGTTGTGCAATCTGCCTAATTCTATGGAAAGTGAAAATCCAGTCTCATTTTTCCCCTCTGAATTTATCTTCTTCTGGTTAAGAAGGATTTGAAATTAGGGTACAATCAACCTGAGGAGAAGAACGTATGGTTTGGGGTTATGTGGACACTGACTACAAAATCAGTCAGGCTTTTGTGGTGATAATTGTGTACATCTTGGCTGGAAACATATAGGTTACATTCATGTATCTTTTACTTTGTGTTTTTTGTGAGAGACAGTGCTGAAACATGATGAATCTCTGCTTTGTTTAACTATTTTGGACTGCGTTAATATTTTAACAAAAGCAAGAGTATTTGTTTATTTATGTTCGCAAATCTGATTATTATTTCAAAAGGACCTTCTAGAGAAACAACCACATTATCTTGCATTCGTAGTTCATTTATACTCTCTGTGAATATATTTGTGTCTCACTTTAGAGTACATAACTACCTACTGGAGAGTTAGTTGTACTGAGAACTCACTGTGAAATTATTCACTGTGTAGGATTATCTATCAGTATTTAATGTTACTTACCAGGAGCTATTGCCCTCACGCTAACTAAAAGATCTTTTTTATATTTTGTAACATTACAACATTGCTCAATTTGATGGCACAATATTGTGACACAAACTTTGAACAGACATTCTAAAGATGCGTGTGAGGATGTTTTATTCAGATATTTATCCAATTGTATTTATATTCAAGTCTTCCTCTATTTCTGTATTCATGTTGATAAATTAAAAAAAAATCCATTGTGAGTGGGTGGTCTTCCAATATTGAAAAATATGTAAGCATAGCATAGCATTAAAGTCATCTCTGAGTGTAAATAAATATTATTATTTTATCACTATGATTTATTTAAATTTACTGAGCACCCAACTCTAGTAAGCTGAAAAGGAGGTATGAGGATGAGAAGTTGTGAGCAGACCATATGTTTGAATAGGACTCTAATTATATCCAATATGTAATACTGATTGTCTGGGATGATCAGGAAAAAGGATTGAAATAGTTAGAAAAGGACACTCACACAACGTGACTATATTATTACCAAACCTAATCTTTTGATTTCAAGCTTTTACATATTGCTCAGGGAATCCATGAACTGACTCTTAGTCAGAACATGGAATATAATATAATAAATAAATGTGATGCGATGACAGTGTCTACTCTTCTAAATAGGTTTTCAAAAGACTTGGCTAAAAGTCTGAAGAATACTGTACCATCCCTATCAGCTGGAACTGTCATGAACATCTTACTTAATTTTGTTTCACGTCGCTTTAAGATTTTAGTGGGATGGGATGTATAAATGCTTTTAAATAAATAAACAAGGAAGGGGAAGCCTAATGTTGGACAAGACTATCTTGCATGTGAAAGATTTCCCATGATTTTACTTGTATATCTGTTTTCTACAATATTTAATTTAAAGCACATCTGTTTATTGTATAAGTGAATAAATCATTTAAACTGCACCTGTCTGGACATTGGTGGAAGTCTCCACATATTGCTCCTAGAAAAGCAAAAGCAAAATACCCCCCAATAGGATACTCCCAATTCTTTCTGTAGATATATTTGCATTATTTTTAAGATATAAATGTTATGATACATGGATAATATGTGGCTGTCAAAGGAAGGTTAAAAATCTTTATATAATTATTTATTTTTTTATGTATTGAAAATTGGGTAGAAGAAGTTAATAATACCATAGCAAATTCAATTTTATCCTCCATTGTCAAACACTAAAATCCAACACTTCCTTGTGTGATCATTCATAATATCCCCTTGCCTTCAAGTTACAATAGGTCACTTTATACTTTGGCTGTCTTCCTCAGTTTTTAGAAGAGAACAATCTATTCATTGCAATTATTAACAAAAACAACTGCCTGATCCCCCATGGAGTATAAACTGACCCATTGTAAACCTAGGTCTACTAATGTCACACATATGACCTACTAATTACTAATTTCAGTGGCAGTCAACTTAGTAATTTTCTACCATCCTTTTAGAAAATATTCAGGTGAACAATCCCTGAGTATGTGAATATGAATGTCTAAGCAGGGAATAGGGTTGCCAGGTCTGCTTCCAAAAACTAGCGGAC